TCAAAGAATCCAAGGTTTTAGCAACGGATGGTGCTCCGGAAGAGGGAACACGTCTTAGCAGTCTGTAACACATGAGCTCATTTACGTACAACAATCATTTCAGAGCAGTAAAAATGTGATGTCGGTAACTTATAGTCCGACAGAAGTCAAGAACCGGGAATCATACATAATTCTCAAACTTCGTCAACTGACCAAGACCCACTAGTATTTGTTGGAGTCGCCGATTGCAGGTGAATTTAAAATGATAAATCGTTCAGTTGTAACGCTCTTTCGGTTCCCTCTGTTACGCCATCCAAAGGAAGCACCAGGGATGGGATACCGACTGCCAGTTTGCCCAAACCTAGACAGCAGTGGAGATGCAGAGATCGCATTCGAACCACGGACCTTCCGATCAGTAAATTCAGGCTCTAACCACGGAGCCATCTCGCCCCCCAGTGGAGATGGACCTTCTGGGGGTCAAGAGAGAACTGGCTGTTCAAACAAGTAACAGAGCGTAGTATTTGTCGCGTATCTTGACCATTCACTACCAGTTCGTTAGAAAGTGAAGCTGTAAATTACGAGACAAGTTACGAAAACCAATGAGCGTCTTATCACTTTGCATACTTCTGAACGACGACTTTTTCATCGTATCTAAGCAACTTTAACTAGCAGAGGACCGAGGCATTTCCTCTTTCGTTATTATCATCAATTACAGCAATACTATTCTCTAAACTTCGCAATCGTTCAGAAAACGATTCATTTGAAGCCCTGGTGTAAAGAAGAGCATAATCCTAACCTACCAAAAATAATTAAAAAGCCTACAGCCCCAACAGAAATTCGTAACATTCAACACATGGGCCACGACTTGGAAAGTCTAGCCAAGCACAAACCTAGGAGCGTGAGTACCATTCTGCGCATTTCAAAAACAGCGCACTACCACATGCAGCGAATTATCATAGGACCAGAGACTCCACCGGATTCAGTTAGAAGTCAGGGCGAAATATACTTGGTATGAGAGCCGAAATGCACAGCTAGGGAAAAAACACGACCTTACCGTTCTTCTCTATCGATAACGCGGATACAGTCCACAACAAAACGATGTTGCGTGATAACGGCGCTTGTTATCCTGGATCCGATCATTGAGATTTTTGTTACGAACAGTTGGTTCAACTCGTCTACACCCCTGAAATAGGCTCGCAGAGTCTGGAGTTAATTGGGCGAGCTCAAGACAATAACGCGACCTTACTTCGAGATCCGTCTTGGAATGTTCCGGATGAACCTCCGACATTAGCTCATCACGAATCCCTTCCAATTCTTGTAAACTAAACAAATGCAACCAAAGTAAGTACTATTGATAGAACCCACATCTTATGAGCCTCAAGCAAATTTTCTCCTTCCACATAGGCATGAGCTTGTTCCATTGCCTCCGGAGCTTTTACCAGATAAGTCATGTTTTCCATAGCTGCAGCTAGCTACAGGAGCCAATAAGTTCGAGTAAAGCAGTCATTGAAATACACAAACCTGTGAGTACTTCCGTGAAATGTTTTTCAGCTCAAGCAATCTGTTGGGTAAGCCTTCCAAGCTTTCTAAAGCCGAAGCTAGTTCAAACAGCCTAGCAAAATAAGCATCAGTGAATAAAATACCTGATACGACAGCTTTGAGATTCTTTCATAGCCGCATCCAGCTTTTCAAGCCCAATCTTGCTACCGTCTAGTTGACTATGGAGCGTCATCTTGAGCTGAGCTTCTGTGGCCATCTATATACCCAGGCATGTAAAGTGAAGTTAAGACCCAATCAACCTTTTGGTTCACAAAACGTGACCGGATCAGATCAAGCTTCTCCAGTTGCTCTGGTTTCTAGAGAGGAAAACATTAAGCTAAACAATTTACACGTACCTGGAATAGCTCAGCAACATGCTTCCCGGCATCCAGACGAGCTTTATATTCCAATTCAGCGAGATGTTTACTCATAGTGATACAGCCTATGGGCGCTGTCGACCTAAAAGATGTTTAAAGTACAAACATATAAACAGCATAACACGTTTGTTTTTTGCTACGAGGAAATAGCAGTGAATTCTGTACCATGAAACACTTTCCGGCGTCATTAACATGAGCTTTGCGTCGAGTTTGATCCACTAATAGGGCTTCGTGTAGACAGCTGCGCACTGGAGGCGGTAGCTGGCATTTTTGTATAAATACAGGTTTATCGGTAGATTTTTTATTGGAAAGATAACGAGCGGACTGTGCATTGAATGCAATAGCCTCGATTCGCGAGCGCCAGTGAGCTCGGCTGGGCCATATCTGACAACGTCTCCAATTAGTAAGATATTGCGCCTCGGGGTCCCAATTCAGCGAGACGGCAACGACCGGCGTAGCCAAGTTTGTTGGTAATCGCTCTCATACTTCGCCTCAAAATCATTCTTTGATCGGGTAAGTTTACTACAATCGTTCCGAGGCGCACCTCCAGATTCTGTACCATGAAACACTTTCCGGCGTCATTAACATGAGCTTTGCGTCGAGTTTGATCCACTAATAGGGCTTCGTGTAGACAGCTGCGCACTGGAGGCGGTAGCTGGCATTTTTGTATAAATACAGGTTTATCGGTAGATTTTTTATTGGAAAGATAACGAGCGGACTGTGCATTGAATGCAATAGCCTCGATTCGCGAGCGCCAGTGAGCTCGGCTGGGCCATATCTGACAACGTCTCCAATTAGTAAGATATTGCGCCTCGGGGTCCCAATTCAGCGAGACGGCAACGACCGGCGTAGCCAAGTTTGTTGGTAATCGCTCTCATACTTCGCCTCAAAATCATTCTTTGATCGGGTAAGTTTACTACAATCGTTCCGAGGCGCCTACACCTCCAGACACTTTTTCAGGCGATGTGGATAGAAACTGACAACAACAGCGCCACTGACATCAATTAGAAGCCATATCTTGAAGTGTTTCTAACTAGGCGAAGTGAGGATCACGCAGTCCCCATCACGGAAGGCGATTATCACAGACATCACCGAAACGTTTTGTGATTTCTTTCATATACCTATGCCAAGTCAAGGGTTGGCCAACTCTGCTTCCGCCACTCTGAGTTTGGTATGGAAAACAACCCCCTCCTCGGGTTAGGCATACGCAACACAGGTCCCAACCAACGCAGCTCTTGATCCTGGACACATTCTTCAGTGGAAGTACCCGTTGCACAACCGAAAACTCGTTTCCTAATTGCCTCGTTACGGATACGCCGACACCAACCCAAACGAGCTATGGTTCTGAGAAAACGATTATCGAACACCTGAAGACGTCTCAGTTCCGCTGTTCGAACAGGTCAATTTTCACAGCCGTACAACAAAACAGACCGCACTGTAGCTTGATGCACACGTCCCTTGAGATTCAAGGATACACGATTTTGACGCCATAAGTGTCTCAAATTAGCAAACGCAACCCGGGCCTCGCAGATTCGTGAACTGACCTCATCTGTCACACTACAATCATAATGAATACGACTTCCAAGATACCTAAGACGCTCCACAACTTCCAGTGCTTCTCCCTGGATTGTAAGTGGCGTGTTCAGTGACTGCATGTCCAAGAACATGACCTTGCACTTTGTGGGTGAAAAATACACTACAAAGGACGGGATGACTTAAGCCGGTTCGTCCAAAAACACTTGCGCCTTCTACTCCTCTTTGAAGACGAGAACGATGTCGTCTGCATATTCCTGATCGACAAGGTTTTCTTCACAGGCTATTTGAACACCAGGGTTTTGGAGACCCTGCAGCGTGCGTCTCATTATTTCATCGATCACGAAGTTGAATAGAAATGGGGAGAGTGGGCATCCCTGTGGGCTTCAGATGAGTGGCAGATGGTGGCCACGACAATTGTTGCTCGAAGTATTCGGCCCGACGGTTGAGGCGTTCCTCATTCTAGATGGTTTTTACATTTCGATTCTTGGTATTTTCGCTCACAGGTGGTTTCCGAAGGCCAGTCGCACGAATAAACTGAAATAATCTTTAGCCACCACTGGCTCTCTGGGCGTCTTCCATTTCCTTAGCTTTCTGTGACGACCACTCTTCACGGTCGGCTTGCAAGCTCACTTTCACTTGACGTCTGGGGCGAGATGGATCAGGCGGCCAGAGCGCGAATTTACTGACCGGAAGGTACGTGGTTCGAGCCCGACTTCTCCTGTCTAGGCTTGGGCAACCTGGCAGCATCCCAGCCCCCGTGTCCCCTTCGTGTGGCACAGCAGCTAGCCACCGAAAGGGTGCTACAGCTGGACGGTTATTTTTATTTTTACGTCTGGTAATTCGTCAAATCAAACTATGTTCGCGATCAGATGTGATATTTCTCCGAGACTTCAGCAGTGCCACCGTTCGTTCTGATATCCAGGGCTTGAGTGCGCATGGTGGAGCCGTGTCATAGGCGAAATGCCCCGCACTGTGCAAACAGGTGGCAATCTTGTCCCTGGATGAGTCCAGATCTGATGGTGTAGCATTTGGAAGAGACCCAAGAAGGCGATTCTGGCAAACTTGTCTAACATCCGGATCTGCCCGTACTTCAGTTGTCAAACGATTTGTCCGCACCTTACGCCGTCCAGGGAAATGTAGGGAGAAGTAATTCCGGACGAGCGCCTAGTCAAAGTCCACAAATGTGTTCCAAAACGACCGTGTTGCGAGAGTCGAGTAGTTCCAGGACGGGATTAGATAGGAGATAGAATAGAAAGACGTAATGTACGCTTTAATCGTCTAATAACTGTAGTACATGAGCTGAAAATAGAGTGAGAGTCACGAGTTAATAGGTTATGCAAAGGCCTGGGTTATATAGTCATGACATTCTCCCCGCCTTGGAATAAGTGTGTACTTTGCGGAGAAAGAATGTAAAATAAATAAAAGGCTGCAATAGTTACATGGAATCGGTTGCGCCTCTCTTTTGCGTAGATTATATGGGTGAGTGCGCTGTTGTCGGATAAGAATGTTCATGTGATTTCCTGGATCTGCACTCGAATGGGATGGTGAGGCATCGTTAATAGGCAAGAGTTCAGTTTCTGAGCAACCACGGTGGACCGATGGTTTTGTGTGAGGCTACCCTTGTTCGGCGATATGTATTGGTTCTTGTTCTGTGTCGGATGTCATTTCGTTGCCTTTAGGAGCCAAGCGGCGCAAGGATATGGTTTCGTGTTTGCAATCTGGACGGACTATGTGGGCGTACTGTGGATTACAAGAGATGAGTTCCACTTCCTCTACCGGAGGGTCATATTTAGAGACTCGATCATTGCGGTTTAAAAGGATTGGCCCAGGGACAGTAAGCCAGGTAGATAGGGAGGCACCGTTCGCTGATCGTCGTGTGAACGGCATGAAGCGTTCGTGTGGGGTACACTTGATACCAGTACACAACAGGGATCTGATACAGTGGAGAGCATCAAAAAGGACAACCTCCCAATGTTTGACAGGCAAACCGCGCGATTTTAGAGCCAGGCAGATGGTCTTCCAAAGGGTACGATTAAGTCGTTCAACCTGACCATTACATTGTGGATTATATGCAGCGGTGTAACTACTGGCAACGCCTTTATCGAACAAAAATTGTTTGATCGTTTCAGAGGGGTTTGGTAAACAATCGGTGGATTTATTGCTGGGCAACGTTTCGCTTTTGACGGTGGAAATCGCCAAGCATCCCAGTGTGAATAGAATAAAGGGGGCAGAACTTGCAAACGTGTGGAGAGCGGTCTTAGATCAGCCGAGATGACACGAGGTGGTGTGCAGTCATCAGCGAAATCGCCTGGGTCTAAAAGTACAAAAATCCAAGTAGAGTTAGATCCAATTAACTACCCCACCCCCATCCCCAAACCAATTATCCCAGCACCCTTGGACGAACACAGGTGAACGAAATCTGTGAACGACCCCAAGAGGAATTTTCCATTAAAGTGTCCTAGACTGAAGAAGCAGGGACGAAAAAATCAGGGTTCATCATAAAGGCGAACCCACCCCTAACCAATTTATCGTAAAGCTTAGTCATCCCCATTAAT